ATGATGACATATAGATGCTCGGAGATGTTTGTGTTTTACAAGTAGTTTTAGGGTGCATTTTGTTATCCTAGCTCTTTATGCGTGTGTCAGGGTGCGCTTGTACGGGTTAAGGACTTTATATTATTTTGTGAATTCAATACAATCATACTTTCTAAAATGGAAAGTATGGCTAGATTTTCTTTGACTTCGATTGGTTTGAGACACCTCTGATTAGAATTGTGCCTTTTCTCATAACGGATATAACTGTTATTTATATATGGTGATTTAAGCAAGCCTCGATTGTCCTACTGTGTAGCCTCGATTTAAGCCTCGATTGTCCTACTGTGTAGCCTCGATTTAAGCCTCGATTGTCCTACTGTGCATGCATTTTCAACGAAAGCCGCAGCTCCTTCCCCGATCCCACTCCACTCGACGGTCGCTCGGCCTGCCTCTTCACGGAATCCCAGGGCGAGCGAGGCAGAGCACCACCGCGCCATCATCACCGGCTGTGGCTATACTGCAGTAGTGTCCTGTAGCGCCAGTGTCATTTTTCTGTAGTACGTATTACCTCCGTCCTGGTTTATAGGTCTCTTTTATAGTTTGTGTCAAATTTTGACTAAAGATTTAACTAACCAAATGTTAATGCATGTCAAGAAAAATTATCTCATTGGATTCGTATTTGAACATAGTTTTTAAAAATATAATGTTTGGTAACATGCATGAACATTTTGTTAGTTTAATCTATGGTCAAAATTTGATACGAAATACAATGGGGACCAATAAATCCGGACGAAGGTAGTATCTCGAACATCGCTTCACAAACATTTCCACACAAAAAAAACTTCTGTGACAGCACACACCGATGCGGTCTCAATGCGCTTGATTTTCTCCTTGAAAATACTCCGTCCCTTCCTTTTTACTCCGCACGCACATAAGATTTGTGTTGAGTCAAACTTCATCAACTTTAACCAAATTTATATATAAAAATATATCCGCATCTACAATATTAAATGTACATTATATATGAAACTACGTTCCATAATGAATCTAAAGATATCCCTTTGGCCTCGTAAATGTTGATATTTTTTTTCTATAACTTTGGTCAAAGTAAAGATACTTTGACTTCAGAAAAAAGTTATATACAGACTAAAAAGAAACGGGGGGAGTATATATATTTTTCTAAATGTGCCAAGGCCAACTCCAACTACAACCCCAAATGGTCCGGGCCGCGTCCGTTTATAAGTAAATAGACACCAAACACGGTCCAACGCGCGGAAGCAAAGACAAGCGTTTACTTTTCGTCCGTTTTTGACCCATCACTGGCCTAAATTTGGACCACTTCGTCGAAACGGACATGCACAGACGGGCGGGACACCCACCCTTGTCCCCCTTGACCCGCCCGTGGGGGACTCAACCCCCTTTTTTCTCTTCCCCTACCCTCCCTCCAACCCCGCCCCTCCATCGCGGCCGCCACCCTTACTCACTTTCCTACAAGACCGTCCGAACCTCGGCCACGCCCGCGTTTCGGAGGAGCTTTTTTGCCGGCGTTCGTGGTTCTTGTTGCCGGTGCAAGAGAAGCTACGGCCACCGACGCCGCCCATCGACCCCAACAACTTCCAGCAGGCGCTGCCTAACCGCAACCCCCCCCCACCCACCTAACCAACCTTGCTTTATTGCCTGTTAGGGGCACTCGAGGTGCTCTTTCCGGCCGCGTCTTCGTCACGCTTGCAAAGGTGTTCGGCGCTTTGCTCACAAGGTACCGCGGATAGTGAGGATGAGTATTTCTTTCACAATTGCATTTGTTCATCGGATGATTCGTCCTCGGATGACGAATACCTTGTGGTGGCTGCATTGGTCATCAATGACCACATTGCTAGGCAGCGGCCTCGGTTTAGGGGATCAATCCCGGTCATGCCCCGTCCTTGAACCGCAATAGGAGAGCGGCCACGCCCTACTCTATGTCGGTTACCTTGGGAATACAGCGCTCTTCAAACCACATCAACTTCGCCGCCGCTTCCGTATGAGGAGACATGTGTCCAATCGTATTCGGGAGGGAGTGGTAGGACATGACCTAATCCTCAATGAGAGAAGAGACATAGATTTGCCCAATTTAATCGTGAAATGTGTTATTGGCATACTCATATCCAGCTCAAGGATGGCTTGGTTGAGCACATGTCGACTCACACTTGCAAGTAGTAGATATATCGATCCATTTCTATTCAATAAATTTTTTGATTGGGTTGTAAAACTATTTGATTGTGTTTGACGTGGAACTATTTGTTTTTTAAAACTATTTGCAATATTTGATTTACTTGGTTAATTGCATTATTTGGTTATTTTCATAGTCACATAGGACTCCACTGGAAGCATTGTTTCGGAGAGAGGCTCTTGGGTGGGTACACTCGGTGGCACGTCCATCCGGGGTTGTCAGTTGCGCGGCGATGGAGGGGAATATCAGGTGCTCCCGTGAAGCGTGACTAGCATGCTTCCATGCTAAGGGAGCACCTGGAGTTTTAGATTTGAGGTCCAATGGCCATCTTTGGAGATTTGGAGCTGCCCGCAATAACAGGGCTCCTAATGAGGTTTTCTGCAATGTTCCACAAGTTTTCTCTATCACCACTGGATCTCATCCAACACTTCAGGCGCTCCTGCGGCATGGTAGCATGTTAGTCACGGTTCACGTGAGCACTTGATACTCTGCCCAACGATGGTGGACACGCGGGTATTGCTGGGCAGGTCTGGTTTGTCCTCTTGGGATCGGAGCGGCACATGTCCGCCCCCTTCAGATAGGTATTCTCTCCGTGATGTCGACGAGGGTTAAAGAACACACGTACTCATGGCTCGACGTGTCTGCCCTATTGTGTTGTTGCAACGAAGTTGAAGCCGTCAGAACGTGGGGTGCGACGGGTGATGTAAGATGACACTAGGATGTTCTCCCGTGTGCTCTTGCCCTTTCATGCTCATCGTTACCGGCGTCCCTGCATGTCTTGCGGTGTTGTTGTGTGTTTTCTCTTTACATGTTTTCATCCGATTTTCCTTGGATAGCCCGGCAGCTCAAATGTACTTCTTTTTAAATGAAATCTTAGCAACTCTCCTGTGCTCCATCCGTTCCACAATGTAATGCGTATAGATTTTATGAAAAATTAAAATTACAAACTTTGATCATGTTTTTTTTCTGTACGGAAAACCATGTAGTACCATCTAGAGTATCAAATACATGTAATGAGATGGCAAAACGTCTTGTGTTTTTGAATGAAGGTAGGAGTATATGATAAGACGTGCTTTCTGTATCGTAGTATATATTTTGTATGAACAGTTCTTGTATAGTACTCCCTCCGTTTTGAAATATAAGTCTTTATAGTGATTCCACTAGGTGGATTATATACGGAGCAAATGAATGAATCTACACTTAAAATACATTTATATACATCTATATGTGATTCATAGTGGAATTTCTACAAGGACTTAATATTTAGGGACGGAGGGAGTATAAAATTGATCGGAGTTTGTAAAGTTTTGACTTGAAAATTGATGCAGTGGCAGGAGAGCAGAGTCATCACTCGCCGTCCCACCTCGGCTGCTTCTGCTGCTCTGCCCACCTCGGCTGCACACACCATGACACGACCGAGCCCAGCACGCAGCCAGGATTCCCTCACCCCACACCACACAACACAAAGCGGCACGACAACCCACACGGACGAGTGACTGTGTGAGCGTCAGCGTGGGACTCAGTGGGTGGTCTCTTCTCCCCACGCGCAACCCAAACCTCCGCTAAACCCGCGCTTAGCAGCAGCACACCGCCGGCGGAGGAGCCAGCCGACCCACCAATGCCGCCGCCCACGCCCCCACTCCTCCTCTTCCTCCTCATCCTCCTCTCGCTCGCCGCCGCCCACGCCCACCCAACCCGCCGGCTCCTCCAGAACCAGCCCACCACCATCCCCGCTCCACCACCACCGCACCGCCACCACCGTCACACCCCGCCGGTGTCGGGCCCTCCCTCCCCTCCGCAACCAGCACCACAGCCCCTC